GTAAAGCGGTGAGTAGAAAAAAGTTTAATATGTTAGGACGCCGGACACTGATTACGTAGGCTGAGTGCTCGTACGCGTGTGCCTCACATGGCTTGTTTGCTTTTATATATGGAGATATTTACTACCATTTTAAGTCTTTTACTGGATAAATAGCACCCCCCAAAGAGTTTTGTAAGATTTACTTTTGTGTCACTTATTTTGTCTTGTCTCAGAAATTAACAAATATTTTCATTAGAAAGTCAAAACTTATTAATTGAACTTAAAACTCAAATTACGAGCAGGCTAAACAAGTAATTAGTTTCATTTACAAGTTAAAATCAGTAGACGGTAAAGTTCGTAGCGGCAATTGTAACTCAATTTGTTGGCATTGTAAAGAAAAATTAGCTCTAACCAGAACCAAATTCACAAATTGTGTAGTCAAACTAATTTTCAGTTAATGAGGTTACGGACAGCTGCATGCGAGTGAGAAGTTTAAATTGGTTCACGACCATTGCCGCTTCGGTTTTTGTCGGAGGAATCAGCGGCCCCTTCAGCGGTAAATGGATTTATTACTCTGCACCGTTCAGGTGTACTCGTAATTACTCTTATTGTGCAGAAGCGGATTGTTTATTGTTTGTAGTTGGAAAATTGCAACATATATTTTACATCGGACGCGCTCGATGTATGAAATATTACAACTGCAATTCGATATATATTTCTTTCTCATTGCGGTATTAATCGCAACATAATATTAACTATTACGAAGATGCATTTTATGGCCTCATAGCGTTGCAGCGAAATTGTTTTTTTAGTACCTACCTGAAATTAATTTCCAATATTGGTCATTCACTTTTCATAATTCAGGTTCATGTTCATGTCCAAATACTTTTAATAGTTTTCTGTGTATGTAAAGGCTTCATTGTTTCATTTATCTACTTAGTCTACGCCTTTTAATTAAAGGCGAACTCAATTCACATAAAATATTCACAGAGCCATGATGAACTAATCACGATCCTCAAAGACTCAATTGGACAAAGACAGAGATGTGTGCGTTTGCACCCAACACATACCTACTCACTTTTAAAAGGAAAATCCTCATGTATCGGTTGTTCCAATTTAAATATCCTAAGCCTCGTTGTAGTGGTGGACAGTAATCAGTCGGCAGTAAGCGGCGTCCGAAGGGATTTAGTTTCAATCACGCCGGTGGCCGAGAGCTTGTGATTAATGCATACTAAACAGGGCACACACAGACGATTTCCAGATAATTTACTTTCCAGTATAATCGTGTTGTACGTCCCGTTTTAAAGTTTTTCAATTTCAGTGATGCGATAGAGAAGGATGGTAAAGTTTGTGTAGTTTTAATAGGCAACACATGACTACCGACATCTGTCTAGATTAAAAAAAAGACGAACTTAACACACCCATTATTAGTAGTAGATTTTATTTAATAATAATTAATAAGATTTTATTTACTAAAATTTACTTATTCTATTTCATATCTTTAACAATAAGATTTACTTTGTACTAAATATTTACTAAAGTGAAAAGTAGGATAAATTTTCATTAAAATATTTACTTAGAGCGACGACGAAGCGCAATTTAATTTACTGTCAACTAACGAAGTAAGCATTTGTTTAATAACATAATATGTTATGATCTTCATAATCCAGACTTCACAATAATTTCAGCCAACAAACCCACTTAATAATTAAAGCGGTGTTTCAAACTTTACGTAATTAAATTAATTAAACGCAAATAATGTTCTGTTATTTTGTTTTTGCTTAGATTTCGTTTTATAAACTCAAGTGGGTAAATAAAGCGTTGTTGATGACAAGTGACTGACTGGCGGGCAATTAGCGAGTGGGTAGGCCAAGGAAACAAAAGGGCCTCTTAGTTTCACTTAATTAAAAAAGAGGAAGCCGGCGCGCGGCAGAGAAAAATTGCTGAGAAATACCGCTTCTGCATTTGTGTGTACACGAGACCGCGTCAAGACGTTTTTTGAAGAAAATACAAGCCAATGTTTTGTGTGAAGTAAGAACTTACTTTAATTTAATTGTATTTAAATCGGAGCATACATTAAACATTTTACATAGTATAAAGAGAAGTTCTCATATCATTATCTATTATAGAAACGTGATTCCCAACCCAACCCGTAAATAGTGAAATACTATTCGTAATATTTAGTCACGTTAACCTGTTATTACTGTCACCGCGTTCCCCGCCCGAATTTAGCTCACAGCACAATAGGCGGAATATTTCCGCGGCGCATTGCGGAAATTTAGTTTATAACAAGCTATGTAACGTCAAGTGTACTGGTATGAGTTCACTTGAGAGGGGGAATCGTTAAAAATAATTTACAATTTTTCCCGTAAAAAATATTCGCGCGTCGGCTCGAAGTTTGCAGCGTGTGAAAAACTAAATTGCTCGTTGCCAGTCGACGCGCATGAAATTTCTAGCAAGTTTAGTTACTATAATTTTCCGGCGTCCACGAGCTGGTTCGGTACAATGAGCCGACGCCCGCAGCCATCATTAAGGTGTGTATGAGCCGCTCGCGTCGCTTCTTTCATCCCTATTTCCACTTCGCGAACTTTTCCGCGTACATTTCGTCGCTGACTCCTGATACTTCTGATAATAAACATTAGCCTAATATTTGTATGAGAAAAAGAAACTGTTATTTTCTATGTACAGTGAAATAGAATAGAGTTTTATTTGTTCGTGGTTATAAAGTCTCTTCTGGGAAAATGAATATTCTAAATCAAGGACAGACTAAGTATTTTGACCTAGTTGTTGCCTAAATTTACTGGGAATAGACATAAAGTTAAATCTAGATAACAATTTGTGACGTTATAAAAGTTACAAAATGTAGGTATGTTGAGTTAAAGAGAACCCTAATAACACTCAGTGCGGACTGCAAACAAAAGGTACAGCAATTTGTCAAAGTTGTCCTAAAAACTAGTGTTGTGTATATTTCTCAGTTTCTAGTGTAGTCAAGGCAAACACTGAAAAAGCTTGTTATTTAACTTCCTAATTGTATTGATCTAGTAAATGTTCTGAGACTCAAGTTCGCCTAAAGTTTGGTTAAAGTAAAAAGTTGTACCTTCCGTAGCGTGTCGACTAGTAAATAAATGATTAATGAGCCGACCACAGTTCGAAGTGGAGCGATTAATTACTTCTTTTTTCGATAATTAGAAGATGAAAATTAAGGTCAAGTGAGTGTTGTATATTTCATATCGTGTCGAAATCAACTTTTTGATTATTATTTTTAATAATTTGAACATTAATATAAATTCATTAAGTATATTTTTTATCAATACTCAATCCATTTTTTTTAACATTAAATATTTACCTATGAATTCATGTTCGATTACACATCGCGACGCATGAACTGACGCGTAGTAAACTTGTAGCAGCTACGGCTACGTCGTAGCAGCGTAGTAGTAGACACTGGCCCTGAAAAAGATTAACCATGATACACAAGTCAAAAAATGTAATTTAACATTTTTTATGATACCGAAGGTCATATGAGTCAGAGATATTATCGCTAAATAGCAGATTTAATAGTGTCGGTATTTTGAACCTAGGTATTTATTTAAAAATATATTATATATGTGTATATACTGAACTTTTAGCTTAGCACTCTCAATAACAACCAGTGGACCAACGAAGCGGTAAGATTACAATTAATGTTCAAGGAAAACTAATTTTAGAAAAGTAAATTAAGCGTCAAGTAATTAGCGTAAGCCAAGATGCCTTTAAGTATATTTGTACTTAAACCGCGATGTTCCCCTTTAATTGTTATTGCTTAAAGGAATTTCGAGGGTAGACCAGACGTACTCAGAGCAATATTAAATTGAAATCAAAATTATCTACTGTAATGATCCTATAATAGAAATTTCATTAAGGATATAAAATTATTTCTTATTGTTATTTACCTCTGTTAATTGTATCTGGTAGGTGTTATGTTAAAATAAGGATTTCAAATATCATTTAAGTTACAAAAAAAAATTATGTCTAGTGACTACAATTTCTTTTGAATCACAAATATTTTGGTTTAAAAAGAAACATACACGTCTGAATATAAAATAAACGAACTATCCCATAAAATAAAATTAAAACATAAGAATGTCGTCAACGCAGCGACGTAATTGATAACCATCAAGTCGGGACCCTATCAAAAGTTATAATATCAGTATGCATTAAATGAGCCGTGTGCGGTATCCGAGGCTTCCAAGAATTAAACGCTGAAGATTTTCGTGCCAGCGGCACTCCCCCACGGTACAACCCCTGCAATTAAAACGCACCCGAAGGGTTGCACCGCTTTCCAAATTGCAAACACGTCCATTGTTTTAATCTACTCCTCTCCCAGAATCCTGGAATAAGGACTCCTAGTTTGCTTTGACCCCCTCATCCACAACACTCATGAACAACCAGGTCTCACAAGAGGGCTCTTGATTAGCTGGTCTGTTTCACTGGTGCGGAATCCACCGATGTATACTTGATTGAAATATTAATTTCATGCTTTCGTACTGACAATAATGGTAGAATTAAATATTTGATAGGTACGTACTTACAGCAGTAATTGTTTCAAGCAAGAACAGTTTAAAGTTGAAATTAACGGCAATTCATTTTTACTATTCCTGTACCTTAACCACAGATGAAGATTTTAATGGTCAATGAAACACCTCCAAGTATTCAAAAATCTTGACATATATCCTGATGATTTATAAAACGTTGAATAAAGGCCAGAAGTTGTGAACACCCCCTATTGCAGAATATCGTGTCACGCCATTTATCTACATTTTCCGTACAGAATAGGTACGTAATTACTTCATACATATGATATAAGTGAAAGAATTGGATTATAAGAAAGGCGTAATAGGGGTAAAATACATAATGATACGTCTACGCATGTTCAATTTTTAATCCAGGTAGAAGAAAATTAACGCTTTGCAGTATTATAAAAAGACGTTACGTGTGTAATATTTGAATAATATTTTCCGGATATTCATACGAACCGAACCATGCCGTCGGATCAATCGAAAATGTTTGACAATAGCTTCAGAATAGCAAAAATTTTCGGCATTTGGCCCGGACTCAAACCATCCCGATATTACAAATTTTACTCTTTCATTTACCTCTTTGCGACATTTGTGTGTTACAATTTACTTCTTACTTTAAATTTACTTTATACGCCCCGGAAAATTGAATTACTACTCCGCGAAGTGATATTTTACTTCACAGAAATTACAGTTGCGACGAAAATTTTAACGATTCTCTTTATGCGTGATAAAATTATTCAAGCACTTAATTTCATTGATTGCGATGAGTTTGTAGGTGACTATGAAAATAAGAAGGGAATACTTTACAAGACGAACATGGGCTTCAGATTGGGTTGGAGATCATACTTGGTTCTATCGAATATTGCTTATTCGAGCCAAGTTATCGTGCCTATATTTTTAGATATCTTACGAGAGACCAAGTCGGAATTGCCGATATGCAAATATTACTTTCTGAGTGATGAAGATCGGGAGTCCCATTTCCTTTTTTGGTTTATATATCAATCTTTTGGCATGTATGGACATATGATGTATAACGTGAACATTGATTCAATCATCGCAGGCCTTTTGCTGATAGCTATAGCTCAATTGAAGTTACTGGGTAATAATCTAACGAATCTCAAATTATCCAATGAAGAAAGTAAATTGCCGAAAGATTCTCAAGACAAGATTCAAATAAAGAGATTCCACAAACTGTTAAGACATTACGAAGTTATTTTGAAGTAAGTTGGAAACGTTTCTAAATATGAGATTGTGGTAGTTTTGTGTTAAATTAATTATAACTTATTGTTTGTTTTAGTTACTGTGACACGGTTCAGGATACATTGAACGTGACACTATTTTTCCAATTTGGCGTTGCATCGATCATAATATGCGTTGTTATGTGCGGTCTTCTTTTAGTAAGTGTTTGGAAAATTATATCACCCGGTTTAGGAGTAAATATACGATGCTCTTAAAATACAACTTTTTTCTTTCATATTTTTATCAGCCATCATCCACAGAGACAAAGGTTTTCCTCGTGATGTACCTATTTACAATGACGCTGCAAATATTTGTACCAGGATTTCTTGGAACACAACTGACATACGGAGTGAGTAAAACTTTTTCATACTTAAATAAGAAATATTTTGTAACTGAATTTTTCCTGTTCATCGTTGATATACCTATATCCTACCTATACAACATAGGGCATTTAATTTGAATATTATTTGTAACGAGTTCCTCGAAAGATCCTGTGACAATCTGGCAACGCTGCCAATCTTCTAGGAATGTTCCCCGGTTATAGTGATGCGGACGAGTACTTTGACTCCTAATTAAAACTTTGTGTTTTTATTCACTGTTATAATGTGCTGAATTAATCACAGAGGGAAAAATGATTAACTTTTGATAGAAAAGTTCGAGTGTATTTTTCTCTCTTTCTTTCTTTATTTATTTTTATTTTTTCCTGGTAAGAAGTAAGCAATGATTGTACAACTCGAGTTTGGTTGGTTGTCCAACAAATACATTATTGACTAGATCTATTACCGCCATGATAACTATTTTTGTGAAACCACATATATTCTTTTTTACACCATACATACACAATTTTCTTTTCTTTCTTTTTTAAAAGATTGGACTTGGGCACTGGACTTTTGGTGTAACGTAATTTTAGAAAAGTATCTCAAAATATTGACACTAACCAACAATTGGTTTTCTAGAGCGAAGGACTAGTCACAGCAGCGTATAATAGTGAGTGGATTCCAAGATCTGAATCATTCAAGAGTAGTTTGAAGCTCTTTAGAGAACGAGCAGCCAGACCAGTGGTGATCTCAGGGTTGAAGATGTTTCCTCTATCACTTATCACTTTTACCTCAGTAAGTATTAAGATGTTTTCTTTAAAATCATAAATAAGTATTATTAGACTTCTTAATCTTAGTATCGTTCTTTAATGAAACATTCAAATTCGAAATACTAACCCATTTAACACTTTACCTAAATCGATATTCAACTCTAGTCTTATTGTTTATTATTGTACCTACTTTACAATATTCAGTAGACCGATTCCCAGAAGCTTATAAACTACCTAAGCCCCTCGACTTTGGTCTAAGACCCTTACGAATAATGCACGTGAACAAATCCTAACATTATAACGTGTAGGTAGTACTATGTAGGGATGCACAACCCACGTCTAAATTTAACAACTTATTAGTATATTTTATAGAAATATAGGAACTATGTTAAGTATTAAGAAGTCAGTTTTAATTAAACTCTATTTAAGTAGCGGTGTAAAAGGAAAAGATGCCGCATAAATGTCGCTGTTCAGCAATTAAAATATATCATATTTTATCGTCCTGTTTCAGATTATGAAGACCGCTTACTCTTTCTTTACACTAATTAGAAACGTTCAAGAAGCTTAGGAAGAATAGATAAATAATTATGCATAAAAACTTTATTTCAAAACTTTCATGAGACATACTAAATTAATTATTATGTTTTCGGCTTACTGAACGTACTTTGACGGGGAACATAAATATGAACTTCTAGCATGGCTCGAAACTAGTCGAATTCCTCGACAGTTACATGAGTAAGTCGATGATTGAATGATTAACATGAAAACTTTATTTTAACACGTTAAACGCCATGGGGGTCACCGGTGACCGGCGTTAGCGGAGGATTTACCTTCAACAGTTTTTTATTGGCAGTCAAAGTCTTAAGATTGTGTGGTGAATTAATTATTAGATATGTTTTCGGTTTACCCACGTTACTGTTTGACGAGGAACTGGACTTATTTCAAAAGTGACAGTTACCTACATACCTACATTTGTGCGTGAGTAAGCTGAAAAACATAATAATTAGTTTAGTATGACTCACAAATGCATGGTGCATGTTAGACAAACATTTTTGAGTACCAATTTTTTTGTTTTAAACTATTTAATAGATGTAGTACTTATAGTAAATATAAATACAAAATAAATTTTGTAATGATAACACTGGTGTCGTTTTTATACTTTCATTTTTTTTTTAATTAGATTCAACGAAACGAAAGCAGAAGCAAAATTAAGAACGTACCTAAATGCATTTTTGGTAGGATTAAAATAATGAATACTCTACTTTGCTTCAAAATAAACCATTTTTGCAGTATCGGCATTTATTCAAATTCATCAAAACCATAAACGGTCGTCGCCAAAATCCCAAAATCATTAAAATGTTCAACAAAATTAAAATAAAAAAAATATATTTTATACGACCAATAAAATTTGTAATAGCAGTTTTTGAACGCAGTTAAAGTGAAATGAAACTAATAAAATGAATTTAATCGAATAAAAATATTAATTTATTCATGGAAGTTGACGCTCATTGGCGTTGCGGTTACGGTCATTGCATTCAACGAAGCTTTTGGTTTATCGGCCGAATGCGGCAAAGATATCACCTAATTTTTTTACAGATATGCTTTGAATTTGGAATACTTTTTTTTCGAATGTTTTACGAGAGAAACTGGCCAGTAATTTCGTTGCTTTGCAAAATGTATGTTTTTCTTTTTCTTTTGTATAGAAAGAAGTGTGAATAGAAGTAATTTTAGTTATGCCAAAAAATCATACAGCCTATAAGAGGATAACTTTAAGAAAAATAAAAATATTTTTTTTATGGCATAAGCCGGTATACGAGCTGACGCATCACCTGATGGTAAGCAATCGGCGTTACCGGCTTTTTGGGGATTAGGAGTTTGAGGATCGTTGGAGATTCAGGGATTGGGGAGATTGGGGGAGGGGAGGGTAATTGGGCCTCCAGTAACCTCACACACACGACGAAACACAATGCAAGCGTTGCTTCACGTCGGTTTTCTGTGAGGCCGTGGTATCACTCCGGTCGAGCCGGCCCATTCGTGCCGAAGCATGGCTCTCCAACACTTAAAGAGCCTCTGAGTATGATACAAAAATATAAATCTATAGGCACCTTTCTATTCTTATCGTATCCAAACCATTGCGTAACACAATTTAATTTTACATTACCTGTAATCTAAGCAAATATCACGTGCCAAAATCAACGTGACGCGCTTTGTTACAATAACCGTGTTAGTAAATTTTAATTGACGACAATTTGAAGTTTCGTCACTAATGAGTTTAGCGCAGGTGGCGCCACCTATTAGCGATACGTGAAATCTTATTCGTTAATCGCTTTCGAGTAATCGTTTTCTCGTACAGTCGACAAAATAACTAGTGTAGTTGCGAAATGTGACTAAGAGACATACAAAAGGACTTTTTGGTATTTTACCACCAACAAAACAAAATAATTTTAACCATATGCTTGCCTATTTTATACATTTTTGTCTTCTATTTTTGGAAAACAGGTCTATTTTCCAAAATCAACAATTATCCCAGTAGCAACCAAGAAAAATAAAATTATGATCAAACCTGCACATACAAGTTAATAAACATTTGTAAAACAACGTCATGCTAAAGGAGTTGTACAAAAGACTTGGAACAATGTGCAAACTTTGTCTATTTACATAGTTATCATGTAGCGTTCAGGTCGTCACTGGGGAGCAGTGCTAATGACTCGGCTCATTAAACAACTGCCACTACATATAAGTACTAGAATTTTCCAGTTACATTGTTCACCACTTCGATCAACAATAGCAACTAGATAAAGGGTGAAGTACAAAATCAAGCTCCAGTTCTGTCCGTGTGAATAATAATAGTAAAAAAATAACAAACAGAGAAAAATGTTTTAAAATGGTTTTAAGTTCAACCTAATAACAACCATGGCACCTAATGATAAAGTCATAAATCGTCAAAATATTATCTAATACTTACGACCATTCGTCACATAAGACGAGAAAAGCATTTTCTTACTCCTGTCATGTAGAAATTAAAAGACATAAGTTATACAATATCTAGTTTGAATTCAACCTTAAGCTAGACCATATAAAGATAATTTTTCCGTTATTGCCTTGTGATCTATATCGTTTTGTTTTGTTTCGTTTAGCTTTTTCGAATTTCGAATTTCGCTACAGGAGGTATGTATAGAGTCGCGTTGAACACTAAAATAATTTTATAATATGAAAATTAAGATTTCGGGATCTTAGTATACATTACTTATTTTTATTAGCGGTACGTTTTTGGGTATAAAAGTCCAAGTCAAAATCATTTATTTCAGTTAGTCCAGGAAGGCACTTTTGAACGTCAACAATATAAATTTAAAAGTGAAGCTATTTGCTCATTCCAAGGTGTAGATACCTACGGAAAAGAACGAGCAAGATACTCCATAGATTAGGTCCTCTTTTCCAATCAGGTTACAATACAAATTTATTTTACAATACAAATCGACTCCATGCATCCACTGTTCTATTTAAACAAATGTTTGTGCGCGTGTTGGCGAGGCTTGGCCAAGGGATCGCCAATAAACGCACAAACATTGGTGGCGTTGGTTTATAATTGGTAATTTTGTCTAATTTTATATTATTTACTAGTTTAAAAGCTTAAAATATAACTTATACTTTATGTACTTATCGAAAGTAAGACACTCCGGCCATTGTACTGCTTTTTCGGTTATTATTTTTGCAACTTGCAATTACGCACTGCAGCATCGTGAGACGTGATTACGTTGGCCGTGTTTGGAGCCTACTAAACAAAATAAGAGCTCACTTTTCAAGTGAGCTCTTATTTCTCGAGACGATTTTCTTGCGCCGACCCGATATCTAGTTGTTATTGATGATCGAAGGTTCACCATTATAAACGAAACAGTATCAAACTCAAGCGATAATTTTTGAAAATGGAATTCAACAATCAAAGATTAACTTCATAGAAAAAAAAAGATTCACTATTTTTTTTAAAAAAAGCGCGCCAAATAGACCTGTCACTCGCCATTGCCGTGTTATTTTTTATCAAGATCTTGATAAAAAATATCTTGAAAAAAACTGACCTTAAAAATATGAAATTGAATTTTATAAATTCATTTATTTTAAGAAAGTATTTGAGGCAATTTTTCTACGTTTAATTCCTATTTACGTGAGCGCAACTTAATGCGTGTCTCATTACTTTATAACAAAACCTATTTTGCCTTCGTTTGAAGGAGGGGTATGTAGGTATGTATTATATTGTATGGGGGCTAGACAAGGGCTCTCCAGTTAGTGTTAATGAGCTTGGTCATTACCGAGCGTGCGTGCCCCGGAAACAAGTTTCGTAAGGAAACTTAAACACCTTCCCGGAATAAACGGGAGCAAAGGTCTAAGAAATCATAAAAGCTGACGTGTAATGGAGCGTTACTACGACCAGCATGTTGTCTCTGATAATGCAAGCGTTTTATGACAGCAAAATTGCAAATTAGATTTTGGTTAGCTAAATTTTTATTAACAAAATCTTTTCATTTACTGTGACTCTACTGTCAAACTATTTTGATAATACCCTATTTTACATCGATATAGGTACTTAGGTTTTTTTATGCCACTGATGAAAAATTAAAAAAAATATAGGATTACAAATTGTACACTCACGTCAGAGCTTAAAACAAACTCTAAACGCCCCAATTCCATTTTCAAACAGGTCTACAGTACATGACAATTCTTCCTTAAAATAAAACCGTTGCAAAAATAGTTTACCTAACCAATTAATTTATAAAATCACAAGTCGCATCCCGGCTTTCAAGTTTAATTTAAACATTACAGCGAGATTCCCGCCGGGCCGAGATTAATCACTCTCTATTTAAAAATTCAAATTATCCATTCTACGTGGCTACTTTCCGAATTCGGTCGGAAAACGAGAATTAATATTTAAAATTTTAGATGCTTAGACTTGGTTTTACTTGTAGATTTTGTTCAGAAACAGTTTATTTATAGCTGAACATATTTTTGATCAAGATAAAGAGAGAATATTTATTTTATTTAATAGTATTGGGTAAAGCATGTTTTACGAGTTCTGTTAAACATTCAGAATCCAATAGAATTATTAGGTATAATCATTTAATAGCTTTTGAACATTTTGAAATTCTAATAAATGCAGTATATAATGACATTAAATATTATCATTATTAAAAAATAATTATACTAATTATGTTTTATATTCAACCGCGTCTGACCATTGCATCGGCTTCCAAATTTAAATTTTGAATATTAGTCAATCAACTTTAATAGAGTGTATTGTTGTTGTACTTGTATTGTTTCAACCAATCACTGCTCTTTATTGATGTCCATTTACCTTGTTGTGTTTGTATCATGGCTCCACATGGCGCGATGTGACAGAATTTCATTGTACGAAAAAGTGAAATAAAAACTATTTATAAAAAAATAAATTGAAACACTACTGCATTCTTTGTTCAATAGTATAATAATAGTTGTCTAAGGTATTTTGTGTCTGTGTATATCTATATGTGTGCATTTCATGTTTGCAATCAGCGATTCGATCTTTAAATCACTCGTTTGTCAGCCTGTCTTATTGTTACATATTGTCGTCATCAAATCAAAATGATACCTTTCATTACACCAAAAAAATCTATTCAAACTTTTCCTCGCATCATTAGCGCTTTGCAACTCGCATTTTATGTAACCCATAACAATGGCTTCACACTTATCTGGGGAACGCAACGCGACGCAAAACACTTCACACCAGGTAGCTAGAGTCTCAAGCAAAACAATAGAAGGTAAAGAGCTTCCATCGGGCCGGGATGATGTGCTCACGTAACGAACCCCTCGAGGCATGCTTTATCCTCTGAATAAAAATAACATACTACGCAGGTACACAATCAGTTGATGCTACCTGTAGACGTCTGCCTTTGGGCGCTATACATTTTCCCTGACAGAAAAATAAAACCTATCTAGATTTGCTTTCTGCGGGCAATGGTAATGCGTTTCGGCTTATGTGTAGTTTTTAATGCTTTAAAGATGCTTTTGTTTTTGTTTGTGTGGAATAAAAATGTGTTGTAAGTAGATGGGATTCTCGTGTTTGGTATAACGCGTTGCATTGCATTAGTGGTTATTTATTTAGATGTCATTGCGAAAATACATGTGTTCAAAGTCAAAGTCAAAATCATTTATTTCAATTAGGCCAGAATGGCACTTTTGAACGTCAACAAAAAGAAAATTAAAAGTGAAGCTATTTGCTCATTCCAAGGTGTAGATTCCTATGGAGAAGAACGAGCAAGAAACTCCATAGGTTACTCTTTTTCAATCAGGTTCACAATACAATTTACTAGTTACATAGTTTTGCTGTTTGGATTGTGCGAGAACAATGTAACACTAAAATCCAGTCAAGTGATTGAAAAAGAAAATAACCTTAAAGGCAATAAAAAATACAGTCCAATACCGGTATTCATTCACAAAATCGTGCTGTCAATAAAATTGCAGACTTTCATAGCGACATGCATGAAACTGACTAGTTATAACCAAAAACTACTTTCATTTTTGTTCTCATATAAAAGTTTTCATAATTGAGAGTGTTCCAACTATCCAGAACTGAGCATCACTAGATTTCAAACAACAATTTTCGTTCGACGCCGAAAGTTACCTGTTGAGGCAGAAGTTTATCATACGTGAAAACAACACTGGAACTTTCCAACTTTGCCAACGGGACAACAGTTTTCACCTTTATTATGCATAGAGGGAAATGTGATAAATTGCCATTTTGCCATATTACGAACGTAGTTGTTACGCTTTTAGGAAAATTGATGTTCATGTTTTGGCGAATGCTTAGATATTTATATTTACGAGTATATCATATAAGAACCGAATGTCCTATTACCAATTCCCAATCTCCCCAGACTCTGAATCCCCAATAATCCTCAAATTCCGAATCCTTAAGAGGACTATAACGTACTTGTAATGCCCCTGGTGTTTCGAATGTCCAAGAACGGCGCAGATTGCTTACCATCAGGTGATTTATATACTATAGGTATGCGAAGCGTAACATACTTTATGTAGGTAAGTGTGTGTTAATCGAAATGTATAAGAAACAAATAATGATTATTTTTATACTAAACATAATTTAATGAATTAAATTAGAAAAATCTTCATATTATAAACAACTAGCGACACAACCCGGCTTCGTTCGGGTGTAATATGCATGTATTATACATATAAACCTTCCTTAAGAATCACTCTATCTATTAAAAAAACAACATCAAAATCTATTGCGTAGTTTTTAAGATCTAAGCATACATATGGACGGGGATAGCGACTTTGTTTTATACTATGTAGTGATATCTATCGATGTCACCCGGTCCTAATTGACAATAATCGAAAAGTGAAATGTAAGATTCCGCTTGTTCCTAAATAGGTGTCGTCGTTAATCAACGTACTAGAGATACATAATAATATTATGTGCATTGATTTATCCAATTTGCAGCGAAAGTTGTAATATTAAATTCATAAAGTTTACTTACCACGTTCATGAATATTAAATAAAAAGAACAAACAGACAAAAACTGGAATACAATAAGGATATCCCAATATCCCCGTAGACCGGAGTCGCCCGAGGGCTCAATAAAATAAAATTCATTTCTGTTTTTTTAAATGAACTTGTATGAAATAAAATTTTGCATGTTGGTCCGTGGCTGTTTGTAGGAGACAAATGGGATATTTTAAATTATTAATGTTGACGTATTTTTTTTTAATAAATAATTTTTAAAGCTTAATGAACATATGAACAATATCTATAATATAATCGTCTTCGATTCATGTACCTAATTAATTACCAGTATTTTAACTCTGTTACCCTATATGAGTCTATAATTCACAATAAATAATAAACTGTATATGTAAAAAAAATATCACGGGAAAAGCTCTACTAGTTTCGAGTCACAGAGGGACTCTTCCCAATGAGCAGCGCGCGCAGTCGCAGCGACGACGCGCAGCCTAATCTTAGTTAATATCGTGTGTATCATGATAGTTATTATAAAAATCGAAAATTCTTAGATTTGCAGTCCCGGGAATCGCGTAAATAAACGTTAATATATTATTAAATACGCTTACATTTTAGAACATTTTTATGCTAAAGTTTAGTGACTAGCTTACGACTTGTTAATGAGATTTTAATTCATTCGATTACATAAGTCATTTTATAGTTTTAAAAGACAATTAAAGTACTTTAATTTAAATATTAATAACTTTTGATTGAAATCACAGCCATGTTATGAGTTTAGTTGACATTTTATTATGCAAGAATTTTTTGAATACTTTTTTATATATTTTTCAACTGTTTCATTAGAAACTTCGAAAAAGTTACTGAAAGATTTTTACATAAATCGTCTTCTATTCTCCGAAGTGGTGGATAGAATTGCACGATAGAGGAGGTACACTGACCCTTCGGCAATTACTTTATAAACGAGTTCTATGTGAAGTGGACCAGCATATTATTATCTTATACTTCTATACATATTCTAAATTACAAACTCTTTCACAGCACCAAATTGCAACGCCTTTGGTGTTCCAGGTGTCTATGGGCGACGCCGATTGCTTATCATCAACTTACTTATGGCTTATAGCATATAGGTTTAGAAAAAAAACCAAGGTTCTTATTAAAAAATATATCATTTCATTTAAAAAATACGGAATCAAATATTAGCCTACGTCTTTTTACTATAACCCCTGTTCTAATAGAAATGTGACTAATTGTAATTTCATTTGTCTTTATAAATCAATAAAAAAGGATACTACATATTTACTTTGAAGTCTTAATGTTCTTTGCTACCGTGTATAAAGTCTTTAATTAGACTTAAAATTAAATGCATTTCTTTCTACTTTAGTACTAATGACAAACTAGACACTTGTACAGGATCAGTGCTATAAGATCTATGGAGTTTCCTTGCGAATTGCGTTCATTATTCTTTTTTTCTTAGCTACACACTAAGATATTATCTAATGCAGATAGGTGATGCGTTTACAAACATACAATTTGACATAAAAATCACATTAACCCGGATCAACAATTTATGAATCAGACGCAGAATAGTTCCATATATGAATCGAAACCAGTACTCATTAGTACATTTTTTTTAAGTATATCAAAACCAAAATACCACATAATTTGAGAAACAATTTCAATGATTTTCCGCGTGACTTAGGCTAAAGTTTTTCAAAGCAGGTGCCAATTTTCATAATATTTGCCAACGCACTCTTTGTTTCTAGTATTGTGTTTTTGTTTTGTGTAACATACACAATTTATTATTATGAATCTACTTATATAATAATGAACATGATAGGTAGTCATGTTTATTATTTTTTACTAATGAAAACCAAGTAACGATGAGATTAAAATTTTCTAAAACAAATTAGACTCTACTCAATTATGTTCTCCAGTCGATATTGACCACTGACCATAGAAACATAGAAACAGAACACGTACTTGTTCATTCACAAGCTAGTCATGGAATCCCATCAAATAGACTGTTTAAACATCAACCTGATGTATTTCAAATTTCTCGGCGTTTGGCCCGGTAACAATCCGTGGCGCTTTTACAACTACTATAGCAAAGCATTCATTATGGTCTTTGTTATTATTTTCATTTTACTGTTTTCCATCAACTTTTATTTCCTACCTAGACAACTTAATATTTTTATAGAAGAAACGATCATTTATTTCACTGACCTCGCTGTGACGTCTAAAGTTCTTACCTTCGTCTTTATGCATGAAGAAATAATTGAGATTTTGGATATACTTGAATGTGACCTATTTCAACCAGAAGTCGATGAAGAAATGATTATTTTGGAAAACGCTAAGAAGTCTAGTAAGACCTATTGCAAGATTATTATGATTGTTTCGTATTTATCGAGTACGTTGCTTATTCTGTCTCCATTAATCAGTCACCTAATTTTGGGGGTAGAATTAGTGTTACCGATCTGTCGTTATGCTTTTATTTCTGATGAGTATAGATTGATGTTCATTTATCCTATCTATCTGTATCAAATCGTGTCCATACATTTTCATGTACTATATAATGTGAATGTAGACATATTTTTCTTTGGTCTGATGGTGCTAGCTATAGCACAGTTAGATATCCTTGATAGAAAATTAAGAAAAGTCACAGATGGCAATAAGGTAGAAGATTCCGATGGTGAGGCGTCAAGGTCACCAATAGATAAGAACAAGGAAGATGTCATGAAAATAAATCAATGTATCATACATTTCATCAAAGTATGCAGGTAAGACGTGGAGTGATTAATAAGTCAACTCAAATAATACCACTTTGTTGAGCTGAAGAGTTTGTTAGTTTGAACGCACTAATCTCCGGAACTACTTGGCCAATATGAATAATTATTTTTAAGTTGGATAGTGCATTTATCGAAGCAGGCTACACGCTATAATACATCACACTATGACTAATAGAAGCCGAGCAGAACGGGTGAAAACGCGCAGTAGTAGGTAGTTCGTAACGATAAATTAACTTAAAATAAAGCAGTTTGCGGTAGGATTCGGAAGGATGGAAATAGAATCAAGCTCAGAAAATAGAAAGTAGTATTAACATGACATGTTAATATACAGAGAATCCCGGGACAGAATTTGATGAGCTTCGACACAGTGAACCATGACTGCGATACCTTTTCAACAGATGTAGTCTGAGCCGTAACGAAACTGGCTGTATTTTGTACACTGTCCTTTATTCCATCCTGTACCTATTCAATCTGTTTTAGAATATAAGTGTTAATTAATGCGTATATTAAGTAACTTAATACAGTTCTTGTGATTTCCAGATTTTGTGAGCTAATTGAAGACGCATTCAGTGCAACATTATTTGTGCAATACAGTGCAGCGTCTTGTATCATATGCGTTTGTTTGTGCAGATTTACTATGGTAATGTCTTCAGTACTACCTATATTTTTTTAATATAACAACCTTGATCGATGTTTCATAGTTTTTTTTTGGTTTTAGCCAGCTGAAATGGGTTATATTGTATTTCTGGCTTCTTACATGTCATTGATGGTTTCACAAATGATGGCTCCTTGTTGGCTTGGTACTCGTCTTATGGATAAGGTACTAGAAAAAATATTATTGTATTACATTTAGAAATATTTTCCGATTTATCGTCATTTTAGATGTCTTTCTTTTCGATTATAAATTTCGTGAGACATACTAAATAAATTATTATGTTTTCAGTTTACTCACGTAATTATGCATATGAGCCTCTAGCATGGCTTGAAACTAGTCGAATTCCTCGTCAAATAATTACGTGAGTAAGCCGAAAATATAATAATTTGTCTTTCTTTTGATCGGTAAAAGTATAATATTGATAAACAAAAAGGGATAAGTATCTATTGAATTATAATGGCGTATCCCTACAAAGAAATGTAACATACCTCTATTTTTGATGTATCTTATATAAACAAAATTTTTATGTGCCGCACCTATGATATAGGTACGGACCTTAAATCTAGTACCAGATTTAGGATTTTTTGTAAAGCACCCGTCGCATAAAAGTAAATCCTAGTGAGTGGCACTGTTATAGGCTATCTAACACCGCTTTACGACCCTTACGAGAGAAACACGTGTCTTACAAAATGTATGTGGGAAAATATGCAAAATCGTCTCACGAGACATCGATAAAAAATCACGGACGATAAAAGGGGCAAGCAACCGATTTTGTTAAAAAAAGTGTTTTAGTACCTACTTGTGTAGTAGGTAGTCTTTCATAATTTGTCGAAGAGCTCGCCATTTATATTCCTTAGTTATTATGTAATTCGAATTGTTACACATGACTTATGTATGATACTCACACAGTGAAAAAACGCTACCGTTACAGTAGTGTCACTGCGGTCGAACCGACCTATTCGTGTCGACGCATAGCTCGTATCAACAACCTATAATTGCAAACTGCAGAGCAAAGCCTCTTCTCACACAGAAACATTTTAAGCATTAATCACCACACTCAACGCGGGTTGACGATTATAAAATTATAATTTGAAATTATAAGCTCAGGTTTCCTCACGATGTTTTCCTTCACCGTTTATGGTGTCTAAATAATCTTAGAAAGTACATGTAACTCGGAAAATGTCACATTGGAAACTGCCGTTGGTAGATTGCGCGAGGAAGCGGGCGTCTTAAACCTCCGGGCCACCACAACATTTTTTCATTCGACGCATAGGTCTCCCACTTGATCTTTTGATATCTATCTATCTTTTAAAAATAAATAATTGTAGTATTTTTTCCCATTTCAGAGTCAACTTCTTGCATTCTCCGTTTACAATTGCGACTGGACATCTCGCTCGCGTGAGTTCAAGAGCAACATGCGTTTCTTTGTGGACAGGGCCAACAAACCCCTCTCTATTACTGGCGGCAAAATGTTTAACTTGTCACTGGGCACGTTTACTTCTGTAAGGAATTTATTCATTTATTTATTTGGACTCTCAACAAAAAATACTTACATGCTAAGAGATAATGCACTAGACATTATTATTTTTTCTTGAGGGGGGAAAATTATCCAATGAATTCTCCCGCTCAAGTGAGGCGAGAGGGAGTGTCAAACTCTAACTGACTAAAAACCACCACGTTCCTATACTCCTGCACTTCGAGCCGGAGCCCCGGTAACCCGTTAAGTCCTCCGCGGCCTCGGCATCAGCCCTATTGCCCTATCTGTGGGAGTCTGATGGCTAGTGATCCTCCAAATTAAAGGGAATCACGTCATGCAAATAAAAAAATAGAGCAATTGAATTTAACGGAATGAAATCAATGACAGTCAATGAAGATGGGTTTATAGTCATCATCAAAATTTGGATGTCGTCCACATTAAAATGAATTCTTCCTCTTAAAGGCCTTGGCAACTTTACGATTGATTGACAAGTTTTTTTTATGGCATAAGCCGGTAAACGAGCAGACGGATCACCTGATGGTAAGCAATCGGCGTCGCCCATGGACACCTGGAACCCCAGAGGCGTTACAAGTGCGTTACCGGCCTTTTGAGGATTAGTAGTTTGAGGATCGTTGGGGATTCAGGAATTGAGGAGATTGGGGAAGGGGAGGGTAATTGGGTCTCCGGTAACCTCACTCACAAGTTCATCAATAGTAGACATTTTCTCTTTTTTGAAACTGTTACCAATATTTGTTACATATAAATCCTTTTTTCTTAAATATAGTTAACTATTGGGTTATTTTCGGGGTCGATTCCCGGGTCGGACAAAGTATTACTGAGATTAAAAAAAAATCTCTGCAGTATCATGGAGTCTGGAATTGTGCCCAGTATATGGCAATAGGCTCACCTCCGATTACATGGGACTCATAATATAAAAAGTGAAAAGTGGGTGTTACATTGTTCAGTAGCATTAATCCTATTCCGTTTTCGTTTCAGATTATGAACTCAGCTTATTCATTCTTCACTCTTCTCCAGCACTTTCAGAAAGAGTAATGCTTTTTGATGGAAAAACTGTCGAATATTTTTATTTAAGATAGTATCTTCACATAATATCATAAGTACATATTATTTATTTAGTTTTTAAGTATATAATAGTCATAAGTTAACAATAATACTTTATTATTCTCACAAAATGTATGAGCAAACAATGTTTAGTAATGAAATCTTGATTGCAATTGTCGTTAAAATTAAATCAGGTACACTGTATTATTATTGTGTTGTATTTTAAATAAATAAATTAAACCAACGGTAGTCTACTTATTTTAGTAAAAGAAATACAGTGAGCGGGGAGTTAACTACCCTATTACATTCAAAGAACGTAATTATACATCTTTCGTAAATCAACTGTGTTTGTGTGTGTGTATGTGTGTATGAGTGAGTCAGTATGTGTGTGTTTTGTATCTGAGAGCATATGTGCGTGCCTGTGTGCAAGCATGAATGTTTGGTCGTATGAGTGCAGTGTATCTGTGTGTGTAGCGTGAAGGCGTTTGAAGCTGCTGCAAAATTAACATTTTTTTTTCAATATATAATATAATTTTGGGACAAATATCCATGTTAAAATGTCTGACCACCTTTAAATGACACTGAGAAAAAATATTGGGGTTAGTGCCAAGCAGCGGTAGGACAGAGAAGATACATGTAAAACAAAATCAAACTAGTATAGCTTTTCTCAGTATATTCACGTCAATAGCCCACGATTTTAGTTAATTAAAAACTATGTCGCGGAGAACCTAAGTCGCGTCGAACCTAACGGGTTACCGGGGCTCCGGCTCGACGTGCCGGAGAAAGAACGAGGTGGTTTTCAGTCAGTAAGAGTCTAACACTCCCTCCCGCCTCGCCCAGGCGGGAGCAGTGATTCGATGATTATCCCCCCTTAAAAAAGCCCGCGATTTTAGTTAATTAAAAACCATGCAGCAAATGAATAAAATTAATGAACGTTTAAGTACCATAATACGAACTCTAATTATTTAGACCCAATATTAAACTAACCGATAAATAATTACAATAACCTTTGTCCCTAACTCATTACAACAACAAAGACTATTCGAGGCCTTTATAAATATTTTTCCACGAACTTTTTGTCACGTGAACTTTCTGTTAATTAGGACGGATCCCTAGTTCCGTTTCGTAGATGGACGAACGTCACCTTGCTAATTGCATCTCATTTAAAAATACGGAACCAGCAATTAACCTACATCCTTTTCCAAAGGCCCCCGTTGTAATAGATACGGCACTTACAGTAATTATTCCCCTTTGATAAGTTCCCAAGAAAAAAGTTCCACTATTCACTTTGAAGGTAGTTCATTTCTTTACTCGTGTGTATAAAGTCTTTAATTAGACAATAAAATGCATTTTTGTAGTAAAAGTACTAATAACAAGCTAGACACCTTTAACAGAGTCAATACTATTAAAACTATGGAGTTGCTGATTGCTATTATCTCTACCAATATACGAAATTTAAATTCATGTCTCGAAACTGATATGATCGTCTACCGCAAACGTTGTGAACAATTTTCATACTAAGATCGTCAAGTTATGAAATACACTGATTTTCTGCGCAATTACAAATTAAGAAATTCTTCAAAAAAGGCGTCAATAAATTCATTTATCGTCGCCATTCATAACATGCACAAATATAATTTATAATCGGATATACTTTGAAATCATGCAATAGACTTTTCTAACTAAAAACGTGGATATCCTGTGAATGTCTAGCCTAGGCGACCGCGCACGCTGCTCATGAGGAAGTACAGGAAGACCTGCGTGGTTCGAAACTAGTAGAGCTTTTCTAAATATATTCACTTGTGTAACCCGCGATTTTTAGTTAATTTAGTAGGTATCACGATAGTTATTATAAAAACATCAGAATTTTCTAATACAAACGATACTCTAGTTGACTATATTCTATAGTCTGCCGTAGGTACGTGTTCGGTTTTGTGCGATCAGTGGTTGATAGCACAACCGACCACATAAAATAGAAAGAAGAAGATTTATCTTACTCACGAACTAGTCATGAAATTCCATCAAATAGACTGTTTTAACATAAACATGAGGTTTTTCAAATTCCTTGCGATTTGGCCGGGTAACAATCCGTGCCGTTATTATAACTACTACAGTAAAGCATTCATTATAGTCTTTGTTGTTATCTTCTATTTACTGTTTTCTATTAACTTTTATTTTCTACCTAGACAATTGGATATCTTCATAGAAGAAATGATATTCTATTTCACTGACCTCGCTGTAACATCTAAAGTTTTGACCTTCGTTTTTATGCACGATCAAATAATTGAGATTTTAGATATACTTGAAAGTGATCTTTTTCAACCAGACGAAGATGAAGGATTGACTATTTTGGAAAAAGCTAAGAAGTTTAATAAGTCTTATTGGAAGATTATTACGAGTGTTTCGTACCTATCTAGTTTGATCACATTATGTCTCCGCTGATCAGTCATAATTTTGGGTGTAGAATTATTATTACCTGTCTGCCGCTACGCTTTTATTTCTGAGGAGTATAAATTAATGTTCATTTATCCTATTTATTTGTATCAAAGTGCATCCATACATTTTCATATGTTGTACAATGTGAACGTAGACTCATTTTTTCTTGGCTTGATGGTGCTGGCTATAGCTCAGTTAGATATCCTTGATACGAAGTTAAGGAAAGTCACAGACGAAAATAAAATTGAAGATATCGATGAAGAGGTTTCAAGGTCACCGGCAGATAGAAACAAGGAAGACGTCATGAAAATGAATCAATGTATCATACATTTTATCAAAGTCTGCAGGTAAGGATGCTTAGATTTATTTGATACCATGGTCATACGACCAGTCGCATCACTATGGTTTAACAGAGACATCAAAACAGACACTAGGGTTAATTTCATCTAGGACAAACATTTGGTTGCACGTCCAAGTTAATACTAGGTGATACATGAAGGGTCCTAATGTGATAGTGTGCAAGGTGAACTAAAACAGGTTCTTTTTTCAGATTTTGTGAGCTCGTTAAAGATGTATTCAGTGCGACATTATTTGTACAATTTGGTTCAGCATCAAGCATTATATGCGTTTGCTTGTTGAGATTTACCATGGTAACTTTGTTTTACTTTAAAATACATTTCCAAGTAGATATTTTTTTAAAAATAATATATATAAATATGTTTTATAATACCTATCGTGAGACATACTAAATTAATACGTGAATATACTGAGAAAAGCTCTACTAGTTTCGAACCACAGAGGGGTTCTTCACATCCGAGTGGCTGCGCGACGTCGCCGCGACCGCGCACGCTGCTCATGAGCAAGAACCCCTCTGTGCTTCAAAACTAGTAGAGCTTTTCTCAGTATATTCACGTGAGTAACCCGCGTTTTTACTTAATATATAAATATGTTTGCTGGTTTCAGCCTGCACCAATGGGCTATTACATATTTCTGGGTACTTATATGTCCGTGATGATTTTACAAATAATGGCTCCTTGTTGGTTTGGTACTCGTATTATGGTCAAGGTACTTTTATTTTTATAGCTATAGCTTATAAGCTTGCAATTTAAAAATCACTTATAACTGTGTTTTCTCATTGCAGAGTCAGCTTCTTGCATTCTCCGTTTACAATTGTGACTGGACATCTCGCTCGCGTCAGTTCAGGAGCAACATGCGTTTCTTCGTGGACAGGGTCAACAAACCTCTCTCTATTACTGGCGGCAAAATGTTTAAATTATCACTGCATACGTTTACTTCTGTAAGTTTTAGTAAACGATGCTCAAATTAATTATCGTCATCATCTTGCTGAACATCTTAGCTATTTAGGAATGGTTTGCTATAAATTCAACGTTTGGTCGATGTGTTTGAAATCATAGCGAGCTCGAAAATTTAAGAGGATGCTGTGATAGTAACGTGCCTGTGTTCTGGAGAGATTAGTTATGTTATATTATCTGTTACAATTAGTTGTATAAAACAAACCAAGTGCCAATCTTCTCCATTACTGGCTTTCCGTCTTTCCGTCAAAATTAATAAAGAAATCAACTTTGCAATCAACCAGAGGTTTGATGCGTTATATTTCTGCAATCATAAAATCCTTTCATAATGTCAAACTGTTGATAAATATTACTTTGTTGTTTTTTGTTGTTGTTTAATTTTATTGAGACCCTACTACTTATCTTGTTTTATTATCTTTTCAGATCATAAACTCAGCTTACTCGTTCTTCACTCTTCTCCAGCACTTTCAGAAAGAAAAATAGCTCTTTGTGTTATTTATACAGAAAAGTTCGATTGGCCACAAGAAATGAAAATATATTTTTTTGCAATATAATTTTATGAAAATGCACTTTATGAAATGTTACAAAGCGTTTAAGATTTTAACTATCTAATATTAATAATACCTACATCAGAATTTTAACATGTTTTATGAAATCTTTATTATTATTTTCACTAAGACGTAGTCGTATCCTTTGTTTGTGTCGCGGAGAACCTAACGGGTTATCGGGGCTCTGGCTCGACGTGCAGGAGAAGGAACGGGGTGGTTTTTAGTCAGTAAGAGTCTGACACTCCCTCCCGCCTCACTCAGGCGGGAGAAGTCAATCCATGATTTTCCCCCTTAAAAAATCCTTTGTTTGTTCTTTTTCATCTCATTTTCTTCTCCTTTGAGTTTGAAATGTTAAATCAAAGAGCGTTAAATATACCTACATCATATACTTAACCAAAATGCACTTTAAGCTCATTAATTATAATTCAAATTACTCCGTCGTTCCCAAAGTTATAGACATTAGGCATAGCTTGCTGTATATTTAGATTGACGTCGTTTGATATTAAAATTAGTTTATATTTAAGATTGATTACCTTTCATAACGAATAACTTAATTAAAGCAAATGTACACAATGCTTTATTTATGATTAATATACTTAATTTTTAGTTCTGAATATTAATTAAAATAAAATCTTATTTGTTATGTGACTTCATTTTCATTGTGTTTGATGCAATAATGTTCTTTGATGTTCTTCTGCAATATAAATATGTATAAGAATTTATATTTTGTACTTTTAAGCACTCGATAGTCAAGTAAAAATAATTATTACTCTAGAGGGATTTGACTCTGATTCATGATCACATTATTATCTATAGCGTATTTTTCAACAAAAAAGGCAAAATAAAATGCGAGCAAAGATACGATCAGCAACCAACTCACTTGCTTATTATGTGTCCATTACAGTTCACCAACATTGATAGTCAATATGAACATTGTAACTGTAGTGATGGGAAAAAATCAAATACGTAACATTGTTTTGTATTTTCCTAAAAAGAGGTTGTCATTATTGAATATGTATTAAAAAAATGCGCAGGCATATCATTAAATTACCTCTACGAAAGCCTACGGCAGAATTTGTGAATGCTTGAAGAATTTTCTGGATCATTTTATGGCTGGCCGTACGTCACCTTCACTAATTGCATCTCATTTAAAAACTACGATGCCAGCAATTAACCCACATCCATTAAACCTTCCATATACTTTGCACATAAATATTTCAATACGTCTTGGAAACGTACCTGCGAATTAATTCTTAAAGGTTGTTAATTTGCTTTGAACTAACTGGTGTAAATTAGAAATTTGAAGGCGACTAAAACGTGCGATGCATTTTCACACCTCTGCTTATTAATTAAGAATATCGTAATTACAAGCTATTCCATTCCTTTGTAATCTTCAAACTATATAAGCCGTAGCAACTCACTTTTGTTACAAAAACCAGGGAAAACGTGTGGCCGTCAGTCCTGCACATTCTCAAAATGGGGTACAATCAAATAGATTGCTTTAAAATACATTTGACAATTCTCAGAGTTCTTGGCGTTTGGCCTGAAGAAAATCCAAGTGTTTATTACGTATATTTCTCCAGAATATTTGTATTCATATTCACCGTTTTATACGTTATTATATACACAATGAACTTCTATTTCTTGCCTCAACAATTGGAAATTTTCGCTGAAGAACTAATATTCTATTTCACTAACGTCGGCGCTCTGTCTAAAGCATTAGCGTTTATTTTTTTGCGTGATAAAGTGAAAAAAATGTTATATATGTTAGAAAGCGAAATGTTTCAAACTGATAACCCTGAAGAAGTGAAATTAATAGAAAAAGCCAAAGAGAAATCTTTGTTTTATTGGAAGATTACGTTCGGGTTGTCTGTGTCGGCGAACACGGTGAATGTGTTCCTACCATTTGTTCTGCACTTAATTTTCTCAATTAAGTTGGAGTTTCCTGTGTGTAGATACTCTTTTATACCGGAGCAGTACGAAGCGATATTTTTGTACCCAGCGTACTTGTATCAAAGTATAGGGATCACTTCTCATATGTTGTACAACGTAAATATCGATACATTTCTTTTGGGAGTGATGTTTCTTGCAATGGCTCAGTTGGATATTCTCGATAGGAAATTGAGGAAAGTGACGGATGTTTGTGTGAATGTCGATGCGCCTCGGGGATCCATTGATAAGATGATAGATGATCAGAATGCTGTTTTGGAGATCAATAAATGTATCAAACATTATGATGCGGTTTGCGAGTGAGTACTTCGTTTTAGTACTTTTATTTTTTAAAGCTTTCTTTGATGATTTTTCTTTATTTTTCTTGTGCTATTTCCAGATATTGCAAGCTAATACAAGAAGCATTTAGTGAGATATTGTTCGTACTATTCAGCTCTGGTTCTTGTAAAATATGCATGTGTTTGTTTCGATTTACAATGGTAAGTAAAATGTCTTTTCTGATTAATAAAAATTAAGAAAAATAGCTTTTATTAAGTGTTATATTAAATTCATTTTTGTTTTGTAGCCCGCAGAAACGCAGTATTTCGTATTCCTAACACTTTACATAGTAGTTATGACTCTCCAAGTGATGGTTCCTTGCTGGTTTGGTTCTCGTCTCATGGAAAAGGTAAATATTAAATTACATACTTTCATCAACTACGGTTAGTAAAACCAACCTCAACCCCTCTTTTTTCGAAGTCAGTTGATTAATATAGGTAATTAAACCGTCTCCTAAGTACCTATAACAAACACTTTTAGTATAACAAAAACCGCATCAAAATCGGTTCAGCCAAGCTCGAGATATTCGCGCACAAACATACATACATACCTATTGAGAATTTCTTTCTATTTTTGAAGACGGTTAAAAATTTTTTGTGCATGTATTTCATAATTTTGCATACACCTATGTAAGTATAACTGGCATTTTGTTTCTGCAAAATTGTTTATTTTCTACCTTGTCTCTTTATAGTACTTTGTACTCTATTATCTTATTTTTTTTCTCTTAACAGAGTAGTCAAATAACATTTGCGGTGTACGACTGTGACTGGACGCCAAGATGTCGTAGATTTAAAAGCAATTTGCGACTGTTGGTCGAGAGAGCAAACAGACCCATTATCATAAAAGGAGGCAAGATGTTTCTACTATCACTTGCTACGTTTACGGCGGTGGGTATTAAAAACTATATTTATTCTTAGTTGAATAAAGCTTATTATTGTTTGCTAAACATTTTTAAATAGTAAAGCGAAATCATTTTATTCGTATTAAAATAATTTTACGTAGCTATTTGATGAGATCACTCGATTAGTTTCAAGCCATACTAAGGGCCCGAGGTCATGAAAAATGATATGAAAAATACGAAGGTAAAATGAAAGTAAATTAATAAGGTTCTTCAGTATTTGCAAATTGTGAGTATAATAAGTACATACAAGTTATGAATGAGTATTTTATACATTGACACCTTTCGACATAGGTAGGTGGTAGTAGGCTCATCCTACTGCCTACGTGGAATAAATAACACAATTGTTATTACTTATATTATTTCTTCCTACACCTTGTTTGTTAAAGTGGGTGTATTTGTTAGTTTTAAACTGCTTTTTCTAGAAACAGATAACTGTCATACGCTTTACAAACAAATACAAAAACTTTAATATGTAGCCTACGTTATTTTTTCGTTTATTTTTGCTTGTAAATAAGGTCTTAAATAGCAGAATCGAATTTCGCAATAACCAAATCAATTCAATATAATCAGTCAGTGAATTTACTCAGAAAACTAAGGCGTCCTAACAAAAATCTATTCAGCCTGACCTTTTTGGAAATTTCTAGAAATCTTTGTAGACATATGCCGATGAATTGACAGTACTTGGAACTGAGGGATTGCCGTCTGATCGTCCAATCCTAACATTTATTCTTTGGAATACTGATTTCGTGAGTTGAAGTAGGTACTACGAATAAACACTTCGATTTTATAGACTTCTTTCGTTTTTGTCTCGTTAGTCTATAGTAAGTATTTTGCTTTGTTAAACAAGCAGTGATAAGGTGTGTCAAGCAAAGCATTCGAATTTCATGCGTGTATCGGAAAAAAGATACCAAATTTTCTGTAGTAGGTTAGAAAAAGATCTTACTCTTTAGGGAATTAATATGAAGGTGTAAAATTATGTCACAACTAGTTTCTGCTAGCCTATGTGTTGCTTGACACCATAATCTACCCTTGTTCCAAATTTAATCCCGATGTAGACGGCTCTTCAGCCGTTTTGAAGTAAAAAAACGAACAATTTATTTTTTTAAATCTTTGCCCCACACTTGGATTTTCTCCTGTGTTGTGGGTGCGTTTACAAACATACAAGTTCACATACACATCACACCCAGACCCGAAACAACAATTTGTGGATCACACAAAGTGTTGTTCCGCGCGGGAATCGAACCCGCGACACGTTGCACAGTAGCCGGTTGCCCAGCCACCACACCAACTGTGCAGTCAATTATATAAACAGACATACTAAACTTTCACATTTATAATATTAGGAGGGTGAGGACCAATAGTTAGCATCCTATATTTATTTGTGTTTACAACAAAACAACTAACAAACGTTTATATTATTTTGTTGCAGATAATGAATTCTTCGTATTCGTTCTTCGCTTTACTACGTAATGTGCAGACTCGTTGAAGAGATGCCAAGTGCCTGAATACAGTAGAAAAATATCTATTCATTATGGCTGTATTTGTTTGTTAAGTATATGACCAATATTTAAGTATTTGTTATTAACATGAATATAAATTACTTACAATGAATAAAAATAAGTTTAGATTGAATTTAAATCTAAAAAATCGTGTATTAATAACATTATAATTATGGTGACTTGTTAGCCCCTTGGGAAGGGCAGTTGAAAATGTAGGGAAAATCTATGTATCAAATTTAATTTCCCATTAATCAAGCTTTTAGAATTGTACTAATAAACATCATCAATTTGTATTTACTTAATAAGGCTTAATTATTTGCACCAAAAGCATTTTAGACTGTAAGCAAAAGTAAATCTCATTTACAATATTATTATCATTATTTAAATAAATTGAAAATTCAGAATAGATAACATTTTGTTAGTAAACAATGTTCGAACAAAAACTTTCTGTTCCTACTTACTAACCTACATACGTAACTCGCGTAATTTTCCTTTATTTTACTTGAGAAGCAAACAAAACAAATATAGTGAACACATGAATAAATAGTCGCTTCTCGACGAGGGAGTACAATTTTTTCTTCGCGTCTGCGAGGAACAAACGTCACACACAAGGCTCGGGGACAATGGTCCCGTTCAGCAGTTCATCTGTTAGCCGGTGGCGGTAATAAGGCGTGTTTTTGCCCGAACACACAACGAAAAAGGAAACAATGATTTTGCTCGTGACTAGATAAATAAGATGTCCGCACGTGACGAGGGTACCATTACAGTTTTTATGGATTCTTTCAGTGGGTACAGCACCAGCCGGTCCACCTGCCTCTCTTTGTTTAGGTCCTACATTGTACGAGAAAATGTACTTATAGAGGTTACAAACCTTGAGCCATTTCTATTGACTCACAATGTTACAATTTGTATGGAACACGGAACAAGTACCCTGATATTTGTCGCAAGCACCTGAATTGTAATTATGCAGACAATGGCAACGTATCCATTTGTTTCCATCGATGAAAAATGGATAAAAATTGCGCCCGCACACGTCCTTCCGCCGCGCCGCCGCCTGCAAACGATGATTTAGTGGCGATCCCTGGATTTATAGAGCGGCCCGCCCCGCCCAGCGACTTCAATGAATAATAAATTGAAGATCTTTTTCGATATTATTGATACTTCGGGTATCTCCGTGTGATGTATGTTCGGGTGAGAATTGAAACCCTTTTATTAAAACATATATTACAGGACACGTCCCGACGGTGACACTGAATAATACGCTCCTTGTTGCGACTATTCTGTGCGGAGCTCTCTCTTATTTCGGATTTTATTACTCTAAGATTATTTACGACATTGTCTGTATACTTTTGTAGAAATTCGTATGGCCATAAATCCTCTGACTTTATTATATTTTGCTTAAGTGCAGGCGAAATGGGATTATGTAATGTGTAACATTTTTAAATCCTTCTTGTGTATTGAGCGTAACAGAATTAGGAGTAAGTAAACTGAACTAGCGCTCCGCAGCACGAATGTCTTCAGAAAGCCTCATGCATAAGATTCTCTTGCAAAGTGCAGGCGGTAATCAAGACTGTACGTTAACTTGGTGGCTTTCAAAATTCTGACAACAGCGATCGTAGCTAGTTGTCAGGCGTACAAGTGGAGGAGTTGGATGTTTGAATTTGCCGAGCTAATTCTGAAGGGCGTACGTACCAGTTTGTCTTACCGAGTCGCGTAGTCGGCACTTGCTAGGAGATGTACCCGCGGCGGCAACGCAAACATATGGTAGTGGGGTTAAAACTTGCCCCGCATGTAAAATTAGTTAAATAACTCCCCGGGAATCTTCACTCTCTATATGGAAACACGTCTTTGCTTTAAACCCGAGCAAATTAGACTAGTAAACTTGCACACATTAAGCTCGCTTTCTAAATTAATCTACGTACTGTGGCTAATTAAGAAAAAACATTGTTCGCGAACTGAAATTTATGTTTGTTTGTGTTACAAATTACTAAAGCATTGTTGAGCCGGTGCCAGAAATAAGTTGGGTAACGATATCAAATGAACCGACTTTAACCCAAAGGCGTAAAATGTATGTATCATTAATATTCATACAGGTTTAACATTCATTAATACGGGCTATTTATAAAGTATCCTGAACTTATTTTAATAAAATTGAAATATGTGTATGTATTATCGGTTAAATATTTGTTAATTATTTCACTTATAGTAATCGCTTCAATTTAATATCATATATCTTATGTTTAACACATATGTTAAATGGAGTAAAAAGTCAACATCATCCCTTACTCACAACAAACGACTGATCATTTAAATTTTCAACCCAATTCCTTCATGAAGTACTAATTAAAATACATCAATTAGCTAACCATCTCCAATTTAGTCTGCCACAAAACTAGTCCTTAACAAACTTCACAATTCATCAAATAGATACGACAGACTACAAACACATGTTTAGACTATAGAACAACTCCAGAATTTCAATGTCCTCAGTCCTCAGTCCTCACTAATTCTGGAAGCTCAAAGCGTCTGTATGTTTGAATGTTTGTGTCATTCGTGTGACTTGCTCGTCTAAACACTTGGGCGGTTAATTTCTTCAGTCCGTCTCTCTTGGATCACTGAGGCGTATTCCTTGGCAAAATGGCTTATACCAATCAGGTCTTGTTATTAAGTTCTCAGAATTTACCACGAGGTAGAGATACGTAAGTGGTTCGTTTGTATGTAATTGTTGGTGTGTAGTTTAGTAAACTGAGTACCTATTATAGACGTAATCCTATTCTGGGTAACTACGATGTACTATTATATTACATTTATTCTTATTGATTACATATTTTTAGGGGGAAAAATCATCCAATAACTTCTCCCAACTAGGCGAGGCTCCGGGAGTGTCAGATTCTTACTGACTAAAATCACACCATTCCTACTCCTGCACTTCGAGCATCCCATTAAGTCCTCCGCGACTCCGTATCGGCGTCAGCTTTATTGGGCCCCATCCGTGGTGGTCTGATGACTCTTTGAGGTGCGCGTGGAACGCGACGCGCCGTATGCTTAGATCTGGTTCTGATCGGGCGGCGAGGCACCCATGCCCACCGTCTGAAGGCCCGTTTGATTGCATATGGATTACCATCATTATAAAATTTCCTTTTAAATTATAAATATAACCATGCTTTTATATCGACTTAACATACAACTAATACAGTTCAATAAAGTTATTAGTAATCGTATTTAAACTATAAAAACCGGAATGAAGCTAAACAAGAAACAAAACAGAACAAAGTAAGCTACCTTGTTAGCTCGTAAATCAGTGACAAATCCTTATAATGACAATAAACATTTGTGTTTGAACGACGTCATGTACAGACACTGATTAGTAGCGAATGGCTGCGGTTGCGGCCGCGGCAACATTGCTGCACTCTCATGGTTTGCCACCAAAGAAGTGAGAATAAATGGAAGACGCATTCTTTTCGTTGAACGTTAGGGTCGTTTTCGGAAGTAACTTATTAGTATCACAAGTAAAAACTAAAATATCCATACATAAACAGTAACACTCTATATACGAAATTATTTGATGGAATATTGTTTTTTGACAAGTAATAACTTTTTGTGTCAGATTTAAGCTTGCCTCTTTTCAGGATATATCTGTTTTCCCCTTCAACCTAAAAAAATATAACTTTGTTTTTAAAAAGCATCTCCACGATGCTTTTTAAAAATAAAAGTTATATTTTTGTAATTATACACAGAACATGAATAATACTGTAACTAATTATTCTGTGTCAAATTGTTTGCCTCATATGTATTTGTATTCCTTGAATAGCATTTATCATTTCCAGCTTCTTTAAGTCCATGATCACATTTGCCGGGTCCAGTGATCGCAAGCTGGTCCAGTCGCAGGGAATGAGTTTTCTATTTATCTAAAGAGTCAACTAAGCTCAGTCGGTTAGTTAGTTGCGGCAATGGATGGTTTAGATAGAAGCGAGCCATGTTTGCGCTGTGATCAAGATTGCTAGTGGAAATTGGTGACAGATTAGATGGATGTAGGATGCTGGTTGGTTGCTAGCTGCTAACTCTTCTGAGAAGTTTGCACGGATAGGTTCTTAAGTTAATTAAACTGGTGCTGCAGTATATTCATGTGTATTTTGTTAATATACACTTTATCCTTGGCCATATCATTACCTACCACAGGTAAGACAGTGAAACGCCGATGATGGAACTTACGTACATAAATAAAATCAACGATTTGAATTCGAAAATAAATTTCATTTAATTACATTTTTGATTTCTACCCAATTAAAGTAGTGCTTATATTTAATACCGCGACACTGACGTCAGCGTCGACCATTTCAAATTAGTTCAAGTTCGTCGGATATCGAGTCGCGATTCCTCGAAAGCAGTGTTCCAGAGACGTTATATCTAGGTCACTTTCATAAGCTAATTAAATTTTACTATTACTTGGAGAAGAAACAAGAATTTTGCATAATATTTATAAAAGCATAGTCATGTTTAGAAAAGTAGAGTAGAGATCGTTGTGAACTTGCGGAACTATTTATATGCAGACAAACAGTAATAAAAAAGTCGAGACGTTCAACATGTTCCCGCAAAAGCCATTGAACAAGTCCATTTATTCAATGTTTTAAAAACACATGGTCTCTTGAAACTGGTTCAGGGTAGAAGAAAAGCTTTGAGTTGATCCGTTCAACTAAAAGTTTTCAACAACAGTTCAAACATTTTGTGGCACGACATACAGCGTTCTCCTTTCAGCGGGAGACTCTTTGTGGCCCGATGCATTAGATCGATTGTTTTGTGCCACCAATTGCTGTAATGTGTTGCAAGTCTTGCGGTACTTCTAATCGCCCGATACTATTACTTACACTGGTATTTTTAGAAAAGAGTTTCATTTCGTATATAATTTTCCTTAAGCACTATTTAAGCTACGGAATGTATAATTCTCGCATAAAATTAATACAAATAACACCCGTAAAGCGATTACCAA